TCTCTAGCCCACAAGGTGGTGTTTCTTGAGCCATCACCTCTGAGGCAAGTGTCTGAACTGGAGGTCTTCTCCTTCAAGAAACTCTTTTTGGTTTTGCATAGGGACATGGTAGTGTTGAGGTTCAGGACTTATTTTACCTAATGTGGTTTATACCTTTCACCTCAACCAGGACATTGTACTTACAGCTCAAGTTTCACCAAAGGCAATTTCCTTTCGTGTTTTGGATACGCTTGGGGTTGCGAGGATTTATTTGTTTTTTTTGTTTTTCAGGAAGCTGGGTGCTCCAGCTTCTCGTTCCACCTGCTCAGGCAGACCATCATACAAGCTTATGGTCTAAAGGTTTGGGTTACTCTTTCTTGTCAAGGTGCACATTTCTAGATCTGCGAGTACTTCTTAGACTTTTTGGCATTAAGTAATTTTTACCATATTTTTGGTACTTTTGTTGTGTTTTCAAAGTTCTACTACGCAGATATTCAGGTCTCTTTTCAGCTTCTGTTTTCTTGGGCCCGTTAACGATTGTTTGTTTGCCTGTTGCTTACCCCTTAGTTGGACTGCTTTTGGACATCCTAAAAGTTAAAGAATTCCCGTGTTCCTCAATAAACAAGAAAGAAAATAAGATTTTTGTACTCTCCATAATAAAGTGATTTAAATTTTGTTCCATAAGAATTATATTTTTTTTTTTTTTTTTTTTTACAAATCTGTTTTATAGGGGCCAATTGTCTGCAGTTGCAGATTTTTCCCTGTGAAAAACCATGACTTGTAGAGATGAGATGAGACCCTTTTAACAGCTTCTGTGAGCATAGTAAAATAAAATAAACCGTTGGTGCTCCTTTTATATACAGATACAGTATGCTGTTGTTACTTAGATCTTCTCAGATAATGACCTAGGGAGCGGTTTGCAAAGAATTTCTAATACGTGAGAACTGTGCATGCAGGCATATCAGTGATGCCATACACTGTCTCAACAACAAATACAGCTGCAGGATTCCCCACAAAGTGCTGTATAGGTCCTCCATTCTCTATTTCAAATTAATTTTTGAAAAAGGAATTGGACAGTACTGCCTTTCCTGATTCTTATTAGGATATAGCTGTTGCTTAATAGCAATCTTACCTGATCTTTACTTTTGAGACCCTATCGTGAGAACATACATTTCTTTTTTTATATTGATATAATAGTGAAGGTTGGTAACCTGCTTGGGCAAATATTTTTTATTACCTATCTGCAGACTCGCACTCCGCATTCCTCTGCTGCTTCTCCCCTTGAATCCTAGATGACATGGCAGAATAACAGCACTGAGGCTTTGTGGAATAATGGCTCCTGAACACATCCTAAAGCAAATGTAAACAAACGGCACTAAGGCTGTGAACAGGAGCTGCTGTTCAGCAAGCAGCCTCCGCATTCTTATTTTTACATGTGCTGATGCTGTGTTTATTAGTTCTCATGCACAAAGCCTCAGGGTATATAATGGGCAACGCTTTAGGGATACATCCTCTAAACACAGCCTCTGCATACGTAAAAAAACAGGCTGTAAGCAGGACCCACTTTATTGCACATAGCCTTAGTGGTCTTTGTTTACATATGCTGATATTGTGTTCAATTTTCTGACATAGTCGTGCACTGGAGCAATTGTGGCGTAAAACCAAATCTCAGCAAGCATTCACCCTATATAAATCTGCTCTCTTAACATACAAGTCCTCCCTTCATGCTGCCAAACAAGCCTACTTTGTCACTCTTATTAATACCTTCTCATCCAGTCCTCGTCTTTTCTCTACTTTTTAACTCTCTACTTTCGCCACCTCCACCCAGTACCTCACTCACTATTTACGAGATTGCAAACCATTTCAAAAACAAGATTGACGCAATTCGTAGGGGCATCGCCACTGCACAGACATCCATCCCACTTAGCATACCTTAGACTAAACCTCCCTCAACACTTTCCTCTTTTGACCTTGCCACTACCGAAGAGGTCACTAAGGTTTTCTCAGAAGCTATCATGAATGCTGCTGCCAGAATCATCCACCTTACTAACTGTTCTGTATCTGCAATCCCTCCACTGACTTCCCGTTGCCCAACGGATAAAATTCAAAACACGAACAATGTATAAAGCCATTTATTATTATACAGTATTTATATAACGCTAAAAGGTTTGCTCAGCCCCAAACTCTGCCCCAAATTACATCAACAATCTTGTCTCTAAATATCACCCAAACCGTACTCTCCGTTCCTCTTAGGACCGCCTACTCTCTAGCTCCCTTGTCTCCTCCTCCCCCCATACTCATCTCCAGGACTTCTCCAGAGCTTCCCCCATCCTCTGGAACTCTCTATCCCAATTTATCAGACTATCGCCTACTCTGCTTACTTTTAGGCGATCTCTAAAAACCTATCTCTTCAGGGAAGCCTATCCTGCCCTCAGCTAACACTGGAATCTTCTACTCTTCCAACCAGTCCATCCCCCACAGCTACTACCTTTTTTGTACCACTAGCCTCTCCCTTCTAGATTGTAAGCTCCAAGGAGCAGGGCCCTCAAATCCCTCTTGTATTGAACTGTATTTTTCCGGTATTGTCTCCCGTTTTATATTGTAAAGCGCTGAGCAAACTGTTGGCGCTATATAAATCCTGTATAATAATAATTTTCCAGTGCATAAGCTCTGGGTATGCTACTATCCGGCTAAGGCTTTGTGAAGGAGAGCACTTCTCAAATACCACCTTCGTAATATGAGCAATCCAGTACGGCTGTCATGCTAAAGTCCCTGAGTTAGGTCATTCTCTTGCTCAGGGGCGGACTGACCATTTGGAAAGGGCCCGGGGTCAGTAGGGGGCCCCATGAGATGCCCCTGGTACTTTTTTGAGTTTGGGCAAGGACACAGAGGCCCCATGATCCCCTATTGCCCGGGGGGCGCCATGAATTGTCAGTCTCTTGCTACAGGGAAAATTTTATATATAATTTTTTTTTTTTTTTTTTTTTTTTTTCCCTAGCTACAAGAGTATTGTAAATTAACAAACTATGAAGGTCCCTCAAGAACCCAGTGGCATATGTGGAATATTTTAAAGAGTTCATTTTTTTTTTGGTTGATTGAGCCCTTCTAAAGCTCCAAAAATAGTTTCCTGAATTACTATTTTATAACTTAATTTGGATTCTTCTTCTACAACATTTCATGTACCCCAGGGATGCTTTTGACAGCATTGGTACTTCTGCTTGGCATAAAAAATCAGCAAACTGCAAAACTAATGTACTAAAAAAAAAAAGTACTATATAATATTTATTTGCTTTACATATTCGACAGTGCCATATGCTGAAATATATAGATTTAAGAAACCCTAATCTTGAACAGAAATATGGCATCTGCTGCTGATACTTGCTTATCCAATTTTCTGAGATAGGCACCCTTCTTAGAAATGCTAGTTTATACCAACAAGATTTCCAGATAGGGAAGGGAGAATAAACGGTCAATATACCTTTTTTTTTTTTTTTTTTTTTTTTTTTTTTTTTGTTTTACACTTTGAGGAGAATTTTCAAACTTCACAAGCCGCAGATTATGAAAACCAATCGGCTTCTAGCTTTGATTTTCAAAGTTTAACTGAAAAAGCTGAGGGTAGTAGCTGTTTGATTATTATGCACAGCTGCTCCTGATTCTGTCTGCTCTAATTTCCACATTTTATGTTTTTTGATTGCTTCCATTATCTCAGTGGCCCTAGGTTCACATCTGTGCTGGTCATGCCGCTGCGGATCCGCACAAAAATCTGTGCAGCCGCACCACCCACACACAGAAATGCGGACCCGCGGGCGGGTACCATTAGTTCTAATGGCATGCAACCGCACTGGAAACCGCAACTGTACTGGGAACCGAGATTCCCGTGTGGGCTGCGTTTTCCAAAGTGCAGGGACTTCTTCCCTACGGGGCACGGGAGTCCATTCAAATTCTCGTGCCCGTACAAAACGTGGCCCGCACGGCCGCGTATATGTGAACCAACCAGATATCCACCGTCAAGCCATAGATGAGATATTTTCTTTTCTGCAACTACGGGTTGCAAGAAGGAAAATCTTGCTATTTCCCCAATCGGCACAGTCAGTGTTGATGGGGGATTCCCTCCTGCAGCACTATTGTGTTATGCCAGCAGGAACCCTTTCCTGCAGGCACAACACAATGATTACTGGTAGTGGTAATAGCCACTGGCAGTAGTCACATGCAAAAAATTTGACAGGCTGGTTGTACTGAAGTCAATTGATGGATTGACTTCAGTACAACCAGCCTGGTTGTAGGTGGATCGAATCTTGGCTGGTCCCTGTTGAACCAGCCAAGATTCAGTCCATCTATGGCCAACTCAAAGGTAGCCTAAAAAAGAATTTCATGCTTTGCAGTACAGTGAGATTTAATAACACCTTGAATTGAACACATCAACAGGAACTTGTCATATCTGTCTCAATGAAAACATCCCCAGCCCACATACTTGTTTTGGAGTAGTCGCATCACTTGCAGTAAAGCTGAAAGGGAATGTTAAGCTTCACTGCTTTGGAATGAGCCTATGTGGGTGTCAGACATGTAGATAAGGTCTGCTTTACAAACCATTATTTTATCTTTTATAATGTGTTGCCTTTTTAAGTTTATTAAATTAAACAGAATAAATGCACCAACCTAGCTTGGGAAATTTTACTTCATTAGGTGATCAGATCACCCAATATTTATTTTACTGATTTTATTTTTTCATCTGCAAGCATATCTTTCCAAATAGATAATATGGGTCTGAAATTCTTCAGAAAATACTAACCTATTGGCTTCAATACTTTTAGTCATTTGACACAGGACAAGTATGAATATAAGGCAGGGTAAAGTTAGAAAACCTTATGTACACAGTTGTTCCTGGTTAGTAACTTGAAGCACGAGAGGGCCAACGTACCATCCATGTCTCTCCAATTAAACATACAATATGTGAAATGTATAAATCCATAGTCGATGAACTAAAAGATCTTTGTTCTCTGGCAGGTTGGTACTGGGGACACATGACTGTCAACGAAGCCAAGGAAAAACTGCAAGATGCTCCAGAGGGCACTTTCCTAGTAAGGGACAGCTCACATACGGACTACCTCTTGACCATCTCTGTAAAGACCTCTGCAGGACCAACAAACCTGCGCATTGAGTATCGAGAGGGGAAATTCAGGTTAGACTCTGTTGTTTGCGTACGCTCAAGATTAAAACAGTTCGATAGTGTTGTTCATCTTATTGAGTATTATGTTCTGTTGTCAAAAAACAAGAAAATAGAAAATGAAACTCTTCCTAACAGGACAGTACATCTTTGGCTTGTAAAGCCACTGTACACCTCTACTCCATCTTTACAGCATCTATGTAGAATGACTGTCAACAAATGCACAAAGAAGGTCCAGGAACTGCCATTGCCAATGAGACTAAAGGAATATATCACAGAGTACCGTTACCATGTATAGAAGCATTTTTGCAATCATGCCTACAGCATGGGAAATCCATTTCTGCAAGCAACTTCCAAATCCAGCCAAATATGTTTGAATCCATTGTCTGCTCCATGCTGAATGTAAGGACATCGTGTTATGTTGCTCCATTTTTAACTGGTTGTCATAGGACTGTTTGAGGAATGAAGGCTCTGGAAAGTAATTAATACAGTATGTTTCTTTTTTCTTTCAGTACTTTTTTTTTTTTTTTTTTTTTAACCACCCACCCTTATTGAAATGTATGAATCCAATTTCCATGAGTTCAGATTTCTCTTATGCTTTCATAATCAAGTTTTTTTTTGTTTTTTTTTTTTTTTTTTTTTTTTTTCTCCTTTTTTTTAATAAAATATGTACACACTAGTACTTTTAAGAACGATCTTCCGCTTAAGGTACCCAAGCATTTTTAAGTATGTCCATGTGTCTGCACACAGCTACTACAGCTACTATGTCCCTTTTTTTTTTTTTTTTTTTTTTTTTTTTTTTTTTTTTTTTAAAGCACCCCAAAGCATAAAGTGTTGCATATTTTAGATTGGACATGTGCATTCACCAGATATTTTAATTGTAGTGACAATGTGCTTGATGTGCTGTATAGATTTAGTGAAGTTGTGTTCCCCTGTTCACCTGATACACATTATGAAATAGATTTGTTGGGTCTAATCTGTATTCTCAATTGTCTGGTTTATGGGAACAAGCCCGTTCCCTTAGATGATCATTATCAAGTTTGGTATCAAACAGGCAGGATAGAAAATCATATCTGCATGCCTATGAGATGAGTATAACAATTCTTATTTTTGTCTTTTTGTGTAAAATCAGTCTGAAATTGGGGGGGAATGAACACAGCACACCCTTAGGTTACACAGGCCTTCCACCCATAGGTGTACATGAATAGGAGCATTCTTTGTAGGCAAAATGCTGTATAGGCAAAGCAAGCATCCATCACCGCATCATCCTCTGACTGTTTCCTGTATTGTAACCGCATTGAAAGCAATCCACTATCGCATTTCTGCCTCAAAGGACCTTAAATATAGCTATGATTAAGACATTGGGGCAGAAACGCTTCAGTGGTTTGCTTTTCATGCTCTTACAATAAAGGAAAGATTTGGAGGATTATGCTGTGCTTGGATACTTGCTTTGCCATCACATTTACCCAGATGTGTGTATGGTCATGGTCAGTTCTGTTAAACACATAGCCCAGGTGTACGGGTACCTTAAGAGTTTAAATCACTAATGAATTTGTACTTGTAAAAGATTTGTTCAAAATGGCCAAAGTTCTGCAACGTGCCAAAGTCTAAATTCTGTCAGAATTGCTGTAAAGATTACAAATTATGGGATCAAGTTTTACTTCTTGGGATCAAGATTGTTATTAGTCTCACCTGTGATGTAGAACTGGATTATGGCTTTATTCTGATGCATACCATTCTTTGTAAGTCTCCTTGCACACGGTACTAATGTTTTTACAATGGATATTTTTGGCATAAAAACCGCAAGCAAGGTCCATATAGTGCTTGTGTGTAGACAGGTAAATTTCTATGCACATAAAAGCATATAATTCCCTATAGCTCCCAGAATGCTCTTTTGCATTTAAAAAAAAAAAAAAAATCAAATATCATACTCTGATGACAATGGCACATTTTCTTGCACTATGCTGCTTTTGCACTTTGCTGCTTCCCCCCCAAGTGGGTGTGATTATATGCGCATAGACATGTATATGTGTATTCATGTGTATGCACGTAAAATTCTGACCTAACACAGCTGTTTGATTTTATTTATTTTTTTCTTTTCTTTTCTTTTTGGATCTGAATGTGGCACTAACTTAATGACACTTAAGGCGGGACTACACAATTAGAAAATCGACCGATCGGTCATCTGACGACTGAGAGGCATTCGTTGGTCGAAATAGTGGCCCACATTAACCAATCTAAAAAAATTGTTCGGGCAATACGTAGTGTTGACGTCTTCTGTACAGTGGAAGTGATGCAGTGTGCATATGACCTTGTAGCCGCGCCTTTCCGGCCAGAATGAGTGATATACACAACAATTAACAGCAATGCGTATAATATAGTTTATTATATACATAAAAATATAATATGCACAATTCTGGTTTCATTATCTCATTAGACCAAATGTACTCTTAACATTTGGATTTTTCGTTCGTGTTTACGAAATTCCTTGGACATAAACATCCGGGTCATCTTCTTCTGTTTCCGCTCATGCGTGATAGCGCTTGATAGATTTTTTTTTTTTTTTCTTTTTTTTCTTTTTCTGTACGACCATCATACCACCGCATAGAAAATCGGTCGTTTGTATGCGAAACGACAAAATTTTTCACTGTTGTTCAACTGGATTTTTTTTCGTTCACAATATTGTTATCGGTTAAATCATCCTGCTCATCAACAAAGAGAAAAAAATCGTTCGATCAGTAGTTCCGCAAACATTTTTCATACGATTTTCGTACGATCGTGTGTATGGGGCATTACTCTGTATGCACGGGGCTATAGAAAACCATGAGCTGCATTTAGATCAGTGCATTATAAATGCCTGAAAGACTAAATAGAACTGCATTTTTGGCACCCGTGTGGAAGAGCCCTACCCATTAAGTTGCCTGAGGTAGAGAAGATGGTTGTCTCCAATCGAAAGTCCAATTTACCATACCCCAAAGTGTTTTACTTTTGAATTCCTAAACTTACTTGATAAGTGCCACAGGAACTTTTCTTCCTATACCTGTCCCATATAAATATTCAAAAACAAACCTCAGCATGTCTTGACTAAGAGCAAGGGCTTTCAATGGAAAAGGCCTCCTGTGATGGCAACTTGAAGTGACCCTATAGATTTTAAAGGAAAAAAAAGTACTGCTGTGTAAAATATGACCACCTAGGTGTGCCCGCACATACCTGTAGTCCTCTTCCCAGACGCTCAGCTGTTGCTGGGAAGCTCCAACACTTCCTGGTGGTGTGAAAATCTGCCTGCTTACTATTGCCTCCTACCATTTCCTATTAGGCCATCATTATGACGGGATGTCTCACTAGCCAATAGGAGCTTTGCATCATCAGAAATTGCACGAACTTTGCTTGATCACCACCATGTCTTCGCGTTTGCCAGGGGAGGAGGGAGCATGCTGCAGGTATGTCCTTGTGCCTCTTAGTGCCTACACTGTTTTTTGACAGTCACTTTAAGAAAATGGTGCTCATCTAGAAGGTGTAATCTGTTTCAAAAGATATTTAAAGATTTAGAATTGCTTTTTCAAGTGCACAGCTAACGTTAAATGCCTTGATGTATTTGAGCTTGGCCTTCAAATTTGGGTCCAACAGTCTGGTTTCCTGAGATTATTACATTTCATATTTATGATATTAGTTCTGTTGGAGAGTGCAGCTTTTTTTTGTGGTCTTGAAGGAAAACGACTAGGCTGTGTTTATATAAAACAAAAACCTTTTGGACTGTATTGTTTCCACCTTTCCATTATTAAAGTGGTTGTAAGCCTCAGACACAAAATCTGATCACATCCTTCTAGAATGTGTATTTGTGTAAATCCAAGGCACTAAGTGTCATTTCTCTCTGCTGCCTGTTCCTCTATCTGAGTTACTTCTGGGATATTTTCCTGACACCAAGAAAAAATGGTTGACCAGGAGGGAGCTCCAGCACACATCTTAATTGACAGCCTCAGCTCTGTTGCTCTGTGAAGTGGGGTGTGTCCCTTCCCTCCAATCAGCTCTCCTCACTAAGTGTAACTTCAGCTCCCTGCCCCTTTTTCTTCCTGAAAGCTCAGACAAGCTGTATAAATTCTGCACTTTGAACGGATGTACAGAACAGAAGACTGCAGATGGATAGATCCAGCTTATGTAGGAGGCAGGGGCAGACTGACAACTCATGGGGCCCCTGGGCAATAGGGGATCATGGGGCCCCTCTGTCCTTGCCCAAACTCAAAAAAGCCTATGAAAAAGGTACCAGCGGCATCTTATGGGGCCCCCTACTGACCCCGGGCCCTCGGGCAGTGCCCGAGTTTCCAAATGGTCAGTCTGCCCCTGGTAGGTGACTGTTTCATCTGTGCATCACCTGAGGCTAGTCACTTCACTGGGTATATGTAAGGTTTTACAACCACTTTAATTTTATTTTCTTTTTCCTGCTGCAAATTGTATCTAGGTCTTCATATGGTCTCATAATTTAAAAGGAAAAAAATCTGGCAGTATATTTGTTATTTCAAATGGAAAATAGTGATTATAATTTGTATCCCATTATAATCCCAGAATTTTGTGTTCGCACAATGAAGTCATTCCTTTCATTTATAATCTCCTTTTTGCATGTCCTTACCATCCTAGTTCAATTTCACCTTGCATTTGCTCAATAATGGCAAAGCTTTTTGGTTTGTGGCCGGTCACTAAGCACAGCTTTAAGGTGCTATTTTCATGATTTCCTACTTGAAACCTTTTCAGTCATGAGACAAGTGTAAGTCACTGATTAATGTAAATATAATATCGTTTTTCCAGAGATATTGTCATGTTTAATTTACGCAAACTGTAGATCTGTTGTCACGCGACTGGATTTTAAGGTGCCTTAAATGGTATTTTGGTTTCCTGTGTGGTGAACAAAAGTTTGAAATATGGGGGGGAATTTACTAAAACTGGTGAACGCAGAATCTGGTGCAGCTGTTCATTGTAACCTATCCGCTTCTAACTTCAGCTTGTTCAGTTAAGCTTTGCCAATAAAACTTGGAAGCTGATTGGTTTCCATGTAGAGTTGCACCAGATTTTCTACTCTAGTTTTAGTAAATAAACCCCCTCAGTGTTAGTCCCTATAGTATGATCAATTTTTATTATGTTTTTTTACACTTGTTAATACTTTTTTTGCAAAAATTCATGAAAATTACTTGGTATTAAAATTACTTGAAATTATTGGTATTTCAGCTAAATTACACAAAAATGGTAATAGTGCAACTATGATGTCCATCTATTCTTTAACTGATATAAATGCACTACTTTCAGACC